CTAACCTAAAATAGAAAACCTGTGGGGCATGCTGAAGAGGATGTACGACTCGGAGGATATGGAGAGATTTTGCTTGTATTTTCTCATTTGTAAGTCAGATAAAAGCATCTGATATGTAAAAGCATCTGATAAATGTAAATGTAATTATGCATTGAGGAGATTTTCTGATTATAAGAGAAGACTCAGTGCTGATATGTTGGTAAAGGGAGGTTGCACAACGTTAACAACGTGACGTGATTTTATTTTTAACTTCTTACAATGATTTCACTTCAATTAAAGTTTTTATAGGATAAAGTGGTTACTGAAGATGAATGAATAAAGGTTAGCTTTCTCCCATATTAGCCACAGACCTAACCTTTTTACCCATCTTTACCAAGGGGACAAATAATTCTAGAGCTGACTGTATTCAGATAAGGAAATAAAGGATGAGAGGGTGATTTAAACACTGTTCTAAATGAAGGGAGAGGGTTGGTTCTACTTAGAATTGCACTCTGAGCCATGTTTCCAGTGGCGCCAGACGAGCAATTAAAATAAGACTGTACAGGGAAAATAGGACAAAAGACTGGACAGGCACACTGCCAGATAGGAGCTTCAGACCTCAGTTTTCAGGCCTTGTGTTTAATTTTGTCTTTTGAAAGGAATGAGAAAGAAATTGCTGCATTGCCTCACTCTCCCTTTCACTGTTCTTGTTCCTGACTGGGATGCTCAATGCTGCATTGTGATTGCACTTTGTAACATGTTATTATCATCTGCGTTTATTGAGCATTGACTGCTTTTCATAAGAGTCTGATTTTTATCACCGGGTTTGTCCATTGTGTTTTGGAACCCAGCAGTTGGGGCGTGACCAGTAAAAATGAGCAAGTGAAAAGTGTTGCACAGACAAATAGCAATGAAATATAATACCATCGTAGTTTACAGACTGTAAGATATATTTTTAAGTCTTATACAGCGTAACCAACTGTTGTAATTCCTGCATAATTCTAATTATAATATACCAATTTTTGTGTATTCACAGTAGGAGTGCTGGTCCAACATTATAGTGATCTGCTGGCCCATGTGGGGAAACTATCAATTCTTTAAGTTGGCACAGAAAAAAAAATCTTATAGTTGTTCTGGTGGAAATTAATACAATTGTAGATTGACCATTGGACGACCAATACTAATTATTATTTCAGCTTAGAAAGAATACACTGAAACACAAATGGGACTAGGTTTATTCACAGTGCAGCATACAATAAAAATGCCTGCTATATTACATGTAGCTTCATTTTATATGGTGCATTATATTGATTAATTTTTTTTTTAATGTGGACATACTTTACTGTAAGCACTGAATTCATTTTATTCGTTGGTGAGGTAATGTAATTATTACTGGTGTATATCTAGGATTTTAGTTCCGTATGAATGTCATATCGCTACTTTTTACAGATAATGTGGTCCTTTGTCTAAGAAATATGCTTTTTTGTGTGTTTTACCTAATACAAAAAAGGAGATGAAATAACTTGTACACAGTAATACACAGTTGTTGGCACTTTAATAGGAACACCTGCATTTGTGCCCATTCATGCAAGTATCAACCAATCATTTAGCAGCAGTGCAGTGCAGAAATTTGTACAGATACCGGTTTAAAAACTTTAAAACGGTTTAAAGTTATTGTTCATATCAGACATAAAAATGAGTTCAAATCCTTAAGTGCTCAGTTGTAAAAATTAGATAAATGTCAGTCACTCTGGATAAAGGCGTCTGCCAAATGCCATAAATGTAATGTATATGATTGTAGTATGGTTATTGGTTCCAGAAGGGCTGGTTTAAGTGTTTCTGAACATGCTGATTTCTTGGGATTTTCACACAAGCATTTACACAGAATGCTACCAAAAAAATAAATAAATAAATAAATAAATAAATCATCCACTGAGTTGCAGATCTGTACACAATGCGGAAATGCCTTGTGGATGAAAGAGGTCAGAGGAGAATGACTAGACTGGATCAAGCTGACAGCAAATCAACAGCAACTCAAATAACCATTCTTTTGAACTGTCATGAGCAGAAATTCATCTCAAAACACTTCAAACCTTGAGGTCGAAACTGGTCATTTGGTCCATAAATATGTGTTATGGGCATAGATAGATAGATAGATAGATAGATAGATAGATAGATAGATAGATAGATAGATAGATAGATAGATAGATAGATAGATAGATAGATAGATAGATAGATAGATAGATAGATAGATAGATAGATAGATAGATAGATAGATAGATAGATAGATAGATAGATAGATAGATAGATAGATAGATAGATAGATAGATAGATAGATCCATCCATCCATCCATCCATCCATCCACACAATACAACATACAATAAAATAAAATATAAGCAGAATGCTAAAAAAAATAGTAAAACAGTAAAATATACCAATCATGGATTCCCAGACTGGGAATTAAAGGTAGGGGTTGTACATGTGGGCTAATATAGTCCATAAACAGTCAAACAGTGAATCAGTACACAACATATAACCTACTAATGAGTTAAGGGTAACTTGCACATCCACAAGCCCTACGACAAGCGATCACAGTATAATAAAGCTCAAAATAATAAATTTACATTAAAAATATGAGGTGAGGATCACACTTGGAACGTTTGCTGTGACGACTGTCTCTGTGATTTAAACAGATGTTGCATATTCCGTGTAAATAAATCATAATTATTACAGATGTCCTCCTTCGGCAAAGCCACTTAATAGACATATTCTATACCCGGAAATCTTGTCTTATCTAAATAGTCCTTTACAGTCCAGAAAACACAAAAATGAGGAATAATGGAGAAGGTGCATTTTTGCATCATACTTGTTAAAATGCAGACTATTTTTAGGCCTGTTATTAAAAAAAAAAAAAAAAAAGAGTAAACAAATCATTAAGGCTCAAATTAAGTTTCCTTCCACACGATGTTGATACAGCACAGCAGACGGTTTTCTCCACTCGGCCCTCCGCTGATCATTTCAGCTGCTTTTTTGCTTCATCAGAAACCGGTAGGAACCTAGAAATGATTAATTAGGAAAAAACGCTTGGGGTGCCAACTCCCAGCACGGGCGCTCATTATAAGGCATTAATAAGGAGATGCACTGTCGCATGCTGGATGTGACAGGTGGAGCCAGATGACGCAGGCTTTGCATGAGCAACCATAAGGCGAGTTCTCTCCTATAATAACACCCTTATTTATCACTTCCCCAAGCCTTTATTGAGAATTAGGCGGGTATTTTTTCTCCCAGATGTCATCGAGACATGCATTCTAGTAATTGTCTCAGTTTATCTTACCCATGGAGTCAACATGGTCAGACTTAATTTTTACTGCTATTTGTGAGTTAATTGTTGGCTACATTATTGGCTGCACCTTGTATTGGAAGGGTTTTTGGTGTGAAAAAATTTACTTCAGAGATGGTTTTTTTAAAAAAAAAAAAAAGTTGAAATTCATTTATTTTGTTTGTTTGTTTATAATGTGTTCTTTTTTTTTTTTTTTTTAAAAAAAATAAAAAAAAAATAATTATTTATTTTAAAAATAAAAAAAAACACCAAAAATATATATGTTATGAATATATATTTATAAATAATAATATTATATAATTAATTTTATTTATTTTTTATTTAATTGTATTTTTTTTTTTTGTTTTTTTTTTTTTTTTTTGTTTTTTTTTTTTTTTTCCCTCTTCTTTTTGCGATAATCTTGTCCACAGGATAAATGGTCATTTTTTTCTCTATGTGTTAGCAGCTCTACAGCAAAAATAACGTGAAGTTGCATTTGTTTCAGAAAAAAAGCAACCCTTGAAGGGAGTAAGGGAACTTGGTCCATTAATTGTTTTTTTTTTTCTTTCCCTCTGCATTCCTCTGCAGGACTAAATCCAGATCCATCACACTAAAGAAAGACACAAACCTATAGTGTGACTGGATAGAGCCATGAGTAATAGTGTAATAACTGGAGTTTAAAGTGGCATCGTGCTTGTAAAGGTGACTAATGAAGGATTCAGGACAGTGCTCTGCACGGCATTGTGGACCACGCTGGCAATGGCCTCTTACTTGACATAACCATTTGTTTTGTCGCTTGTAAACAGGCACCCTTATTCCACTGACGATGAGAAGTAAAATAAAGCACCGACCCAGCTTTCAAATGGCATTGTGTTTTGCCATCCATCTACCTCAGGCCAAAGGACATCACCATGCTGTATATTTTGAAAGACATCAACCATGTCCTTGTTAATGACTCTGTATGCCACTAGGTTGCGATTAAGCACAGGTTATGGATTGAATCATAGACAGGAATATAGACCTTTTACAATGGGGTGGCAATCTAGGGCAATCTGTGGATACTAATCCAAATCCATAGAAAATGACAATGTGGCTTCACCTATCTGTATATGGCTTCAGTAAGATTACCTTTGGACATAAAATGCACACATTTGTTTGCCATTTAGCAAGCTACAAAAAAGCCATAGCTATAGCCATAGCCATAGCATTAGGCTATATTTTATGAAGTATGCTAGCATTAAGAATTCAATATCTTAAGGAAAAAATAGCTAATTACAAGCTGAAGCGATCCAGTGTTATTGTTTGTTGTCATCACAGGGGCCAGGGAATAGGTTGCTCGTCTGTTAGATAGCTAAACATGCTTGTTTCTGCATGACATTACACTTGTTGACAATCTTTACCATTAGACAATGATGAAATAAACATTTAAACTATTCAGAGTTCTTGTGTGTAGTGAGTTATGTTACCACTCCAACTAGCCTAACACAACAATTTACCAAGTTGTTCATCCATCCAACCATCCATCAATTTCCTGTACCACTTATTCTACACATGATCACGTGGAGCCTGAATCCTATCCCTGGGGACATTTTAGAGCTGTCAGCCAGCCTACAACGGATGTCTTTGGACTGTGAGAGGAAACCTGAGTACCTGGAGGAAACCGACGAAGCAGAGGGAGAAAATCTAAACTCTGAGCACACAGGGCAGAGGTGTGAATCGAACCCCCAACCCTGGAAATGCAAGGCAAACATGCTAACCACTAAACCATCATGCCCCCAGGAGTTTTTTTTATTTTTTCACAATGTTATATTGTTAACTACATTTACTACTACCACTACTGCTACTAATAACAACAATGCTTCATACTAGGGTAGTACTGGCCACTTCTAAGCTATGCCCATGCTCATAAATCTTTTTTTTTAGCAGACATTAATCTACAAACATTCAATTTACAGCTCAATTCCAATTAGCATTACAGCCATCATATCCTTTTACATGAATCTGGCCTCTTGTGCAGTCATTTGAGGATTACAGGCGATTGTTGAGCTAGGATTTGAAAACATTGCAGGCATGAAGCTAACAAGCTAAAGCCACATAGAAAAAGGAACCATTGCACTGTGCCAGTATGGATGCCCAGAAGGTAAGAGTTTAGTGCCAGGTGATGAGAGAAGCCCAGCGTGGTTTTTGTGGCACTTAGCATGGAGCTTTCATGGGCTGACTTCACACTGGCATGCAGCAGATTCCCCCCTGCCAACAGAGCAAAATGGTGGTCCAGCTTTTCCACCAGAACAGACCCACACAAAGAGACACAGGATGCAGCCTGCAGATGGTGTATTGTCAAAACTGAAGAGGAAAAAAAAGATGAAATGCTGAGATTGCAAAGTGAACACTTGCAGAGCCTAGTTATGTACAGTTATCTAAAATTACAGGAGTTTTCACTTTGGTTTTCTTGTCTTTTTTTATTTATTTATTTTCCTTCCTAGGATTGCCACTGCAGTGAAACATGTCATTTTGTTCACTTTTTCCTCACAGTTTGTTCACAATATACAAAACAAGTATAGTATAGCTTTTTTTTTTTTTTATAGTATTCTTAAAATGGTTTAAAACCACAGAGAACCAAAGTTGCAGGAAGTTTGTACAAGGCTTCTGGTATGGACTAGATAGATGTTTATTCAAGGCTAATGCACTAATGCTAGCTTTATGTAATTTTGAATGGTTTAGATGGTTGGTTTTTAGCCATATTTTAATTGCAATGGATTCAACCTGGTCCATTAGGATGCCATTGGCCACGTTGGCAACATATTAATTCAAAAAAGCAAGTCTAGCTGACTTTACTGCACTGTGCCAAGTATCAGTTCCATTTTGGATGCCATATTCACTTCTCATTTGCATAAAGTTTACAAACCTCATCTTTTTTCATTCTTCTCACCTGGTCTTGCTCCACCAATCATCTGTGCAGGATTTGCACCTGTTTCCAGTAAAGAGAAGAAAAATACATTGCAACAATACAATGTGAAGTCAAAGTCAAGATAGCGCCTTTGTGTCCTAAATGTCAATATATTGCCCCTCTGGCCATTATCATATTTGTTCATTCAATATTAGCAAAGAACAAATAGGTCACGATCTTTCATAACATACTTCTACAATGGACAAATACGAGTGTATTATTCCTAGTTATTAGCTGCCCTTAATTAGTGATCCAGCTTAGACAAGGTTGTGAAGACTTTGTAAAATACAGGCTCATAAGACTATTGTTAATCACAAAATACTGCTTGCTGGGAAGAGATAACACACACACACAGTATATATACGTCAGAGGATAAATCTGTATTGCTTTACTGTCTCCCAAAATGATGTGAGGGAGAGAAAGAGCAAGTATAGAAGACCTATGACAGATGCAGGCAGTTCCCTTGGGATTGGAGTGTAAATCACAGCAAGTGCAGAAAGGGAGGAGTGCAAACTGAGCGGGTTTAGTGCGCGAGACAGCAAGAGCATGGTGGGTCTCAGAGGGGCAAAGTGAGAGAAACAATGCACTCTTCAGCTAATCTAACAACTAAACCCCTGGGGCTGGAGTAGTGGAGTGCATAGAATTATGAGCTAGATTCCTCAACTGCTCAAAGATTAGACTTGTACTGAACTCCATTTTTTAAAGCATGTGCCATATTTGGAATGGGCTCTGATTGAATGTGATGTGAAATTAAACGAAAACACATTCACAGTACAAGTCTATAAGGTCTGGTTATAGTATGATTCTTGGGTTCATTATACACCTGTATCTCTGTCTCTCTCTCTCTCTCTCTCTCTCTCTCTCTCTCTCACTCTGCCTCTGAGAACAGACTGCTGAATGTCAATTAGAGTGCTGTCATTCTTTTCTTCAGCCTGTTCTTATGCAACTTCAAGTGGGTTTATTGTCATTTCAACCATATACAGCTGGAACAGTACACAGTGAAATGAAACAATGTTCCTTCAGGACCATGGTGCTACATAAACAATGTAGAGCTACTCAAAACTACACAGAACTAAAAAAGACTACAATTACATACACTACATATAGTGCATGTGTGTAAGTGTTGAACAGTGCAAAACAGAACAACTATGACTAAACAGGACAATAGGGACAGTATAGGACAGTGCAGTACTGACCAGTGCCACCATCTTGGATTAACTTGCAGACACCAGGGGCCTGTACCATGAAGATAGTTGAACAAACTCAGGGTTACGGGATTATTTTCGAGTTGACAAAACCAAAGCGATCCAATCAGGCTTTATTGGTACCATAACGCTGATTGTCAACATACCCTGTCAACTCAGGCTTTGATCCTTAAGCTATGATGAGTTCACAAGCGTGTGCACATAAACGCGTGACGTCAGCACCGAACAGCCAATAGTGTTCAATGTGGGGGAAAAAAGCAGGTGTGCATACTTTCAGTTGAAAAGCAAGAAACTAGTTTGCGGAAATATGAGGAATTTAAATCTACACAAACCGCAAAAAGGAACACTGTTGCAGCTGCCAAAGCTCAGGAACATTACTGATAGTGAAAATGCATGAGTTTACTTTCACTCCCAATGAGAATAAGTGGATTAAAATCTTATAACCCCAACATCTTCCATGTAATTTCATTGAATATAAATGTAAATTGTTTTTATTAAATGTTTTATTAAATTAAATGTTTCTCTGCAAAGTGCTCTTCTTACAGTTTGCGCTGTGGAGTTGAATTAGTTATGACACTTTGCTCACAGCTGATTAGTCCAAGTTTGGTTTGAGTTCTCCGGGGAGCGTAAATTAATATGGCGCTAAAAGCTGAACCACTTTCATGGTACCTAAAACCCAGGGTTGGCTCAAATTAAACTGAAGCTTTCCTGGCTAGCCACCTAAACCAGCTTCATGGTACAGGCCCCAGAAGAACACAATTTTATCTTATCTTGTATCTTGCTGATCTCCTGAAGCAGTATAGCATTTTGATATTGGCAGTGCTAGAATTTCTGGTACTCTTGTTAATGATGAGTAAAAACGGCTATGAAATATGTGACAGGAATGAAAAACAACAACAAAAACAAACTAAAAATATGAGTCAAATCTAATATTTTAAAATATATATTTTTCAAAGGAAAAAAAATGTCAGATATTTGTGAATAAATATGTTAAAATCACAGTATTGTCAGATAGAGCTTTAGTTCCACAGCCTTGTCATACTGAATATATACTGAAACAAGCGTAAAGGGGAGTAGTTATATTCTTCACTTTAATTCTCTACAAGTAAGAGCCATCTTGTATTCACGACAGATGTTTTTTTTTGTTCGTTTGTTTTTGTACCTTAAAAAGCTTTCGAGATTCAGACAAGGTCAGAGAACTGTTTTCCTGGGTGTAGGAGTACACACCTGGGGTGCATGTCATTTCCGAACAGCATGTCTCATTAGCACCTACACACCAACCCTTTCCGCCCGAACCCCTCCTCCATTCTCTTTCGCACTCTTTTTGTCTTTGCCTGAATGAGTACATTACACAAAATGAGCACAAAATATTGTCTTACACTCTCCCTGAAATTGAGCATCATTTAAATTCAAAGTATTTTTTTCATAACCGAATACACAGTCTTTGTAATTACTGAACTAGAGAACACACATGTACACTCAACACACACACACACACACACACACACACACACACACACACACACACACACCTTTTTATTCATTCCTTCAGCAAAAAAAACCCAACCTAAAATATCAGAGCCGGTGGATAATTGGGATGGGGGAATGGAGACTGGATCGTCCCCACCTTTGATTAAGTAAAAGGCATGTAAACCACAGCATGGCATTATTGTGATAATAACAGTGATGTAATATGGTTTCACAATGCTTTATAGAGAAATTACTTCATTTCAAAGGCCGTTGTTAAATGCTGTGTATATGCATTTAACCAGTAAAGGCTTTATTGCACAATTTATTTTTGACAGAAACCCAGTGTATAAATGTTCCCCACTGCATCACATTCAACCTCTTTCCCATTCTCATTTTGCCAAGAGTTGGATTCAGTGATCTTAAAAATATACTGCTTTGTTTCTAGCTAATAACACTATTTTTGTTACTATGAAATCTGCTCTGTCAATGGAGTGTCAATGCCAAAGGATGTTCACATAAGTGTGGAACACCACACTTTACTTTTGGATAAATAGAGAAGTCACCATTAACATTAACAAACTGATAATGTCAGATAAAAAAAGCTGAAAAAAGAAAAAGCTGCTCCGTTAAGCAGTCCCTCCAGGATTTTGTGATCAAAGAAATGAACGTAAAATCAGGCAAACTCCTCAATATTCGGAGGAGCTTGCAATTTCTCAAAATTCAAAATTTTGGCCGCATCGATCACAAAAAACCTCTGTGAAATCCTGTATGGACTCCTTAACTTCCATGGGTTTAGCTGTACAGGACTGGTTCATGTAGGGGAAGGTTTGCCTTCCAAGAATGATAAAAATAAAACTAGCTATCAGCATTTTAAATACATTTTAATTTTGTAATGCTATCCAGATCATAGCGTGTTATTTTGAATGACTCACAATTGCCTAGTATAACTGTATAACTGTAATGGTCAAGACTTGGAAGAATGTTCAGGATCCAGGTGCATGAGGTTTATTAACAATTTCAAAATGCAATCAAACTTAACATCAAAACACAGGCAAGGGTCGAAACAGAAATCTTTATCCAACACAGCAAGGCCAAAACAGTAATCCAAAGAATAATCCAAAACTCTCGCAAAGGTCAAAGGCAAGACCATGA